CTTCCTCACTTTTCAATAGAAGTAGGAGTTACTGTAAATAAATATTGAAAGAGATCAAGAAAAGATGCTAACTTGTAGCTTGGAAGTGGATCAGGGAAAAGAATTTGATCCTAACATAGCAAAAATGCATTAATTTCTATTCGCAATTTGTATTAAAATTTTTAAATAGTGTTATTTTATTCTTAATTAATTAAGACTTATATATGCAATCATTTCTTTATGGCCTTCACAGAATATACACATTTTGCTGGCTAAAATTAAAATGCCCTAATTTTAAAAGTCTTGGCGTACTGCCGCGAATAATTTTCATAATTTCAAACTGTATGCCAGGTTCTCATTCTTTCTTGTCCAAAGCCGCCATTAAAAGCTTACAAATTGTAACTTATATCCATGAACAAAAATATGAGAAGCTGTGCGGGGGAAAAGGAGGACCCATAAGGGGGTGAGTGATGAGTGGTCTTGGGGCGGACGAAAACCTTTTGTTTTTATTATTTTCCAATGCCCTTGCTGCCCTCGTGAAAATCGAGCTCTTTTCCTTTCTGCCTTTCAGTCATCCAGTCACCTCCTTCATTACAGCTCCCGTCCCAGGCTGCTGTTGTTGTTGGTACCGCTACTTTTGGCCTACGTGCTCTTTGCTTAATTTTAAACACCCCCTCATTTGCATAAATGAATTATTTTCAACCCCAAAGAAGCATCAACAAAAAATTAAGATTGGAATACGGGGAAGGCGAGGAAATGAAAATGAGAAACAAAGTGAAAGGCAAGACAAGAAATTGCTGTGCATGCGCAAATTTTTCAAGTGCAAAGCGCTGTGATAGAGAAAGACTCGGGAGAAGACGAGGAAGAATGGGGCTGAATGGCACTTAAAAGTAAGCTTAATGGGCAACTGGCCACGTCAAGAGTTCAGGCCATAAAAAGCCCAAAGGAAAAACAAAAATTCCGATAATTTTGTGCTCTCTCTCAAATTCGTTGGTGCCTGCCTGATAACCGTTAAACGCAAACAATTAAAAATGACAGTTAGGAGGAAGCAGGGTACACAAAGGACATAAAACTGCTTGAAGACCAGGTGTATATGTGCCCCTTCCCCCCTTGGCATGAAATGACACAATTTCAATTTCAGTTTCAATTTTTTTACCAAAGAAGGAGCATCATATTCCTGTTCGTTACGGAAAGGTAACCCCGAAGTGCAACTGCTTTCCAAGATATGTCGGGCCTTGGTCCTTGATTGACCTGCACCTCACCCCCGCACAGGATCGGTAGTTATCGGGCTGACAGTCCCTCTTCCTTCTGTCCCTTGGCAACTCTCCCGTTTTTTGCCGTATTTGTTTGTTTAGCAGCCAAATGTCAAGCGGGCGTTGGTTTTAGTTTTCCCATCCGCTCCTTTGTGATCCTTTGATCCACAGTTGCAATTCCTTTCGGGCCCGCTCAAGAGTTAAGGCCATTGTTAGACGGAGGGTGCGTTACAGACAATCCGCTAGCTCTGTTCCTGTAATACCCTAAATGAGCGTAAAATATTAGGCAAGATTGGGTTTAGGAGCCTATTGGATGAGGCCTTTAATGGGTACCTGACTGGACAACCCAGCCTCTAATCAATCATTTTGGGTTTGTTTCCATTCAGACAATGAAAATCTATTCATTATTTGATTTCCATGGCCTTGTCCTTCTGCAAAAACTCAAAGGCAGATCTAATGAATTCTTAAAAGGCTTTACCAATAGGCCACCAGAATGGATGAAGAAATTTTTAAAGAAGATATATTTCTTAGAGCTTTTTAAGTTGCCATCACACAGCTACTTTTGAATAAAAAACTGGTCGAATGCATAAGAACTCGTAGCCCATACTTAAATATCGTTTTCAGTAGATCTATGTATCGTCAATCGAATTTTGCATAACCAGCTCGATATTGTTTCGTCTTTTATTGTCGTCTTTTATTTGGCAGCACACAAGCGTTGAAGGAACAGAATCTACACTCAGGCCAGCAATTATTCTAGAGATTAGGAAAGCAGGTGGTCCCCTATTTCTTGGCTTGCAGCCGCTGCAATTTGAGACCCATTTCAGTTTACAGTTGCGTACAGAAGGGACGGAACGTGCAGCTAACAGAGATGCAATTACGTTCCAACATCGATTGAGTGGAAGTGATTAATGCCATAGAAGACGTTAAAATAATGCCAGCACTTCCCGATACTTCTTACTATTCCCTCGTCTATTTAAACCAACCGAGATCAACATATTATAACTTTTTATTTTCGAGTTTCACGAAGAAATTCTTTTCGAAAAACAAACTCCCATCAAAGAGGCTCAGGAAACAACTCAAAAGCCGAGACAAGTGGGCAAAGCAGAATGCAAACTTGTAAGTCCTTTTTCGACAGCTGCTTTGGCTACCAGGGAGTATTTATATGGGCGGCCGCCAGGACTCCACAAGAAAGTTCATTAAAATTATGCCCTTTTCTAATTTTGAATTGGTCGCCAGAAGGAACGGGGGTATGAGGAGCACGAGGAGCGTACGATAGGCACTTGTTTTGGCTTCCTCGTCTTTTGCTTTTGACAATAATCACTGGACTGTTAATTTGTTTCAAGCACAAATTTCGGTTGGCCCTCGTTTTCTGTTTTTCTTTCCAGTTGAAGAAACTTTGGCGCATGCAAATCAAAAGAAATCAAAGTTTTGGAATAAAAAAATAATATAAAATAAAAATAAGCGGGAAAAGCAAAACTTTTCCAAATTCTGGTATTGGCCTCACTTTGGATGGGTGGGAGTGGCACTCCCCACATTCACCCCTGTTTAAAGGAAAAGGGTTAATCAAGCAGCGGCAACCTCATTGGTTGCGTGCCTACTGCCCACTGGGCAGGGGTTGTGAGACTAAAAGGGTTAAAATGCTAAAACAAACGATTTTCCACTGCGGCCGGCCATTGGAACGAGCTGGAAAAGCACCCCTGCATTAATGTTGATTATTTTTTAGCGGAGCTGCCCCCGCCCTTTCTCCGCATTTATCTTAGGCCTGGCTATATATATGAGCTTCGCTTAGGCTTTAAATGATGTTGGGACGAGAAACAACCCCATCGGAAGAGCAGACGTCGCGCCACGGTAAAATATGCAAATTTTTTCATTACAAAATGTATACCACTCACAGAGGGTATAACCGAATGGCCGACACACGGAAAAACAAATATCCTTCATAGATCATTGGGCGCACGAAGTTTTTGGGCAATGTTATGAAAGGGTGAGTATAAAGAGTATTACGGCGCCGACTAACATCAATCTGCCTTTTTCAGTTCGATAACATTGCTGCTTCTTCCTCATCCCCTTGCCAGCAACGACGCAGGGTTGCCGGCCTGAGGTTGCAATAGGAACCCCCTTCCCAGACGCCTCATTTCACATCTTTGCCGTATAGAGCACCCCCATCACTTAATTTTTAACAAATGTTGTTGTGCGCCATCCTTGCTTCGTCTCGCTTTGTAAAAGAAAAGTTCGCGCTGTTTTCCAAGGGTTGCCTCGGGGGCAAATAATTTATGGCACCCGTGTGTACTGCCTCCTGGCTCTAACCAAGCTCCAAGTCTTTCCCCTTTGCCGCTGTTCCTGTGCCCCTGCTTTCCTGTCCCCGGCTAATCTGACATGAGCTTAATGAGAAAAATCTGCAATTTGCGTCTTTCGTGTGCGTGTCGCATTCTGTCCTCATTTTCGCTTGTGTGCGCTTTACAATAATTTCAACTTTGTACGAGTTGGGGCTGATACTTATTATGCGAAAGATTTGGGCCTTTGGCGCATTTTAAATGTTATACCTTTGGGTTTCTGATTACGATAACCATAGTGTTTCCAGCCAGTACTATGATTTAAAAGCTCTAAATAAACATCGCCGTCGTTAAAAGGAAAATAACACAAAATTAAGTAAGGAACAGCAGCAGCTTTGATGGATACACATTGCACGGAGCAATTAAAATTTTCCATTTCATTCAACCGAAAACGTAAAAAGTTTTACCTTTTTGAGTTGTAGATATTTCTTTTCCTTCTTTGATTTGTTTTTTTTTTAACATCACCAAGAAGACGATGAGAACCGCGGTAAAAACGTTCCCTAAATGTAATTTTACCCACACGTCTGCTAACCAATAGGGCCGTTCATTTACACTGAATTAAGTTTATCATAAACATTGAAACCCAGTCCCGGTCTAAATATAAGCTGTCGAAATGGAAGAAAAATTAAACCGCCTGTCACTTGCAATTCTTTTGCCCACAGGCAGATATCCGCTTCAGTTACAGCCCCAAATAGAAAAATTAACCAAACCGATCAACCGTTGCCTTGGCAGAGTTACGAGGAACAAAGCAAACTGTTTCATTGATTAATAATAGTCAGCATATGTATTGGAACGGCTAATTAAACGGGCAGATTTTGTAATAATCAGTTCATTCATTCTACGATTACAATTGCATAAAAAGCGGAATATTAAAATAACGTCATTTATGTACGCCGTAGCAGACGTAAAATTTCTTTTTGGCAGCTGCAGCTTATGCAAATTGTTGGGTATAAAAGGGATATGGAATAGAAATAGAGCAATTTGTTTGGTAGGGGTTGAATTTATAGCAGATTCTAAATCGATTTCCATCGAGAAATAGGTTGAGAATACCAAAGGTGACTATATGCGACTAACCAAACTTTGGCTATTTAGGAACCAAAAAAACCTTATGTGAATGGATTTGATTTCCTGACCCTCAACGGTCCTCTTCAAAATTTTAATGAACCAAGCAGGTGATAAAAGGTGGCCCAATAGAAGTTCACACTTTAAGCTTTACCTTCTTATCTTGTATGTTGATTTGTATTTATGCTTGAGTCACACACAATACGTAACCCAAAAACTTTTTAACTGTGAAGCGGACAGGTCCTCTATAATACAATACCTCCTCTATTTGGAGGGTTCAGGAAAGATGAAATTTTTGTAAGAAAAGGGTCTGTTTATTAAAAGGCAAGGCGGCAACATGCTTACTGAAAATATGTCGAAATGAGTAGTATGCAACAAAATAATCAGTTTTGAATTGTCAAACAAATTTTCATTTACACATGAGTTTTTCGAAAACTTTCCGATTAAATTTTAACTGAGAGCATGGGTACCTGCTTGGAACGTTATTTTTGCCCAAACAAGCCTGTGTGCAGCACAGGCAGAAGAGCCACCTTCTACTATCCCGGTGGTGGGACCTACTCCGGCTATTGGTCTTGCAACAAACACCATGGCTGGGGCGTGAAGAAGACTGCAAAGCGCACCTCCAAAGACTTTTCGGGTAAAAAAGAGCCCGAGGGGCAGCTCGTCTACGAAGGGAACTGGGTGATGAACAAACGGCAGGGAGTCGGATCAATGTTACGCAAGCGTGGCACGGATGTGCAGCTGATTTACTCGGGGAGATGGTACGACGACATGAAGTGCGGCGAGGGCAAGCAATTCTATTCCGATGGGTGCGTATACTTCGGCCAATGGTTAAGAAACCGGCGACATGGAATCGGCATTCAGTGGTACACAGATGGGAGCATCTATGCGGGCGAGTGGGAGACTGATTTCCGACACGGCCTGGGGGTCATGTTCTATGGTTCGTAGTGACAATTAATTTAATCGATACTTCCCCTACTAAATGATTGAAAAACTAGCTAATGGCAACCGCTATGAAGGACACTTCGCACGTGGATATAAAAACGGTGAGGGTGTCTTCTATCATATGCACACAGGCCAAATCCAGAAGGGGATGTGGGAGAACGATAATGCAAAGGTGTCAGTGGTGCAGGATGAGCCCACAATGCGATGCAACACTGGAGTGACTCCATATCCGATTCCACGGAACTATCTCAAGTATCCGAACGAAATAATGCGGGAATTGTTTCAAAAGTACAAGGTGGCCGGCGATAAGCCTCATCGTAGATTCAATGACAAAGTTAGTCTTGGCTTTGTTCATCATTACCGGCATTATGCCTCATTCGAAGAGCGCTTGACCTCGCCGACCAATGTTAACCTCTATCCTAACGCCAAGTTAGCCTGCACCTGTGACTGCGAGCAGATTGCTAGAGCAGAAACCACTGTTAGTCAGATATAACCATATCTACACGATACGATGTATTATTGTGTCCAATAAAATTGGATTGATTTAACTTTCAGGGGAAAAGTGAATTTCATTCCAGGGACATTTTGGTAAGTATGCGCTCAATATAAATTGTTTATTAATTATTAACATTCTATTTACTTGTCATTGACATTAGCTTTGTTGTCCTTTCACTGTTGAAAAATTGCTACTTTGGAACTTTAAGCCGACAGAATGAGGTTTTTCTCTAATGGCCGCTAAAATACCTGCGTATCCCCATCGTTCCCCACCCGCGTCACAAAGACGGACTTGCCACGCCCAAAACGAACCACCCAGCCACCAACCCCAAAGAGGACACCCACGTTTTCTACTTAATGATAAAAGAAAGGACATTAGCGGGCCTCGGCGCATCTCCACGTTTCGAGCGTCTTTCAAGTGAAAAGCAAAGAATTAAAAAAAATTAACAAAAAAAAAGGTCGGAAAAGAAAAGCGATGGTAAAAGGAAGCAACAAAAAATGGGGACGCGCACAATGAAAGAAAAGAAAAAGATTTCAAACCGCCTCCCACTGCACCCTCTGCCTCCCGCATCCCGCCACCCGCCACCTCCTCCTGCTAGCTCTCCATTTATCAAGTTCCTTTTATTTCGGTGCGCGGGCGTAGTTAAAAATTAATAAATGAAATTAATGCCGGCGACACTTTGCAAGGCATTGGCCAGTGCGGAAGTTGAAGATGTTGCCAAGGTTTTCCTTTGACTTCCCTCTGTTTACATCAAAAACATTTTCATTTGAAATATTAAGCGCCTAAAAGTCGATAATGCTTTTTTCTTGCCTGTGACAGCTGCGTCGCATGAATTTAATTAGAGCCAGCTGAATTTCACTAGGGAGGCAACACTTTTTTTGGCCGCCAAGTCCATCCAACGCAATTAACTGCCCACTCCCGCGCAGCGAAAGTAAAAACTTTTACGGAAAAAAATCTCTGTAAATTCATCTTTGTCGCTGCCGGTGATTAATCACAAGCCAGAGGAGGCCAGAAAGAAAGAGCACTGCGGTCCCTGACCCATTGAACAGGTGTAATGCTGGGAAAAAGTGTGTGTATGTGCGCCCTTTAAACTGTCCCCCCGGTGCCGTTAGGCGGTGACTACACATTTTAAAAAGTTTAGGCCTAATATGCAAAAGCAGGCCAGGCTTCGTGGCGGATTAAAAAGTTTTTCCAGGTCCTCCGCAGCCGACAGGAGTAAGGCATTAAGCGCTCTAAGGAAAATTAGCTTGTGGTAAGAAAAATTTGTTTGAACTGGAAAGGTTTTTTTCTTGTCATTTTGATCTGGTCAGTTCATATATTAATATTTTAAAATCTCTCTACTTATCCTTAAAAAATTATAAACGCTACGTGGTCTGGTGTTTTCTTGGTGCTAACTGACCAAATATTTCACCATCGGGATGTTTTGAAACGAACGGCGGTTCAAAAATAGCTGGGCCGAGTCCCGTCGGTGGCAGCCGCGAAGGGAACGTAATGGGATTGATCACGGTCCTCCCTGGCGGAAACATTTCATCGAAGGTAGCAGTGGCCAGGATTTCATTTGCCACATCTAGAAACTTTTTGGAAAGACCATGCTCCAGACCAGGCACTATCTCATTCAGATACAAGTCCTGATTGTTGTTGATAAGCGCATTGCCGACTTCTCCCAAAATCCGATCGCCATTAAACAAGTTTTCTAGATTCAATTTGAAGTCCTTGAATTCGATCCGCATGGTCATCTTGGTGAACTTAACATAGTCTTGGCCATTTCGCAGATAGCGAGTGCCTCGCATTTTGACAGATGCTTTTGCATTCTCTAGTGTGTGATAAAATTTAGTCACGGTCTTCTGTTCATTTAAGAAATAGACGTACCGCAATATCCCTGCATGTTTCCCTTTCCCTTTATGTCGAGAAGGAGCAAATTGAGGTGCATCGAATACCGTCCCCTAAAGTCAATGCGTGGAAGTGTGATCCAAAGATCGTACGATATATCCAACGGTTTCGCTCTTCGTAAAAAATCGATAATTACTGGCAGCAACTATTTTCAATTTTCATATAGTTACATAAGGCGATCAATGATAAAGTTGCTCCCTCCGGTCGCCTCGAGATCCGTAAACACAGCTTGAAACTGGCTACTTCGGCCTAGTTCGATGTTATCGAGAGCCAAGGGCTCCAGGGGCGGGGTTGTATAGCCATCTCCAAGACTGCCATGGACTAGTAGTGGCCTCAAATTGTAGACCGCATTGATGATGCAGCGCTCCAAGTGAGGATCATCCCGAGCACATGGCTTAATTGTAGATGCTATACATAATTATTTGAGAATAACTTATTCAATAACTATTTTGCTGGGCGACACTTACGCAATTTGGCATAAATTAATTGGCACAAAGCCAGTAATAACAGCAGCATTAAGCCAAATCGATTTCCACACCATTTGGGGATCATCTTGCGTAGCCTTTGTTTGAATAATAAATGACGATGAGCTGCGGGATGTGGGGCTGCTATGAACCGTAGTTGTTCCGCTCGAGCGATCGACTAACGATTCGCCCAGTCTCGGATTGTGCTTTTGATTGAATTAAGCAAAGCTTAAGTCTCTCTCGCGACATTTTCGTCGCTTTTAATAAGCACTGGTGTCCACAAGCGAAGACACAGTTGTATCTATTAGAAACGAAACGTACTTGCCGCCGACCCCACTCAGGGGCACGTGAGGTGTCGCCTTGCATGTAAAGTTAAATTTATGTAGTTTTAAGTGAATTAAAACAAAGACGAATATGCTGCTGTAATTCTGAATAATAACAAAGGCAAGCAAATCAGCTGCGGAAATTTGAATAATAAATTTGACTACCGCCCCCAAGAGCCAAAAATACTTGGCTTTTAACTTGCGAGAAAAGCGGCAGGACGATAAGAAACTAGATTGGGGACAACATCAACACCAATCACAAAAAAAAAAAAAACACAAAATGTTTATATTTTTTGATGCAAATTCTCAATTTGCTAACGAAGCAAACACCCTACTTTGATAGAATACCCTAGGCTATGGTGTTTCCCCACCGCATACTGCGAAGCCAGAAAATGAAATCCCTAACGAATGAATGCAGCGAAGTACAAATGAAATGTTTAACACAATAAATCACTGAATGAAAAATCACATTTAGGCTGCTGACTTATGTGGAATGAAACATTAAATAGTAATAAATGAAAATTAAGCATTTAAACATCCCTCATTTATAGTTTTGCAAGGCGTGCACACTCAAAGAAATCTGAGATAGTTTGAAATCTAGTTAAATGAATACCAAAACAAAAGAATTGTTCAAGTTCAAAAAGAAAAAAAGAAGTAATTGCCTCTAGGTATTATCAACCCATCGTCGATTGCAATGCTTCAATCAGGCGCACTGACCCCTGACACCCAGTGCACGTCAATACATAAAACCACGCAGGAGGCAGCTATATACACATGTACATATGTATGTACCCTAATGCTGTGTGAGGTAATCGGGGAAGTTCGTCGAAAAGAAATGCGTGTACATACATACATCTAAAGTTTCTTCATGGTTTTAATACAACCGAACATTTTATAGTTATGCCACACCGCTCAGAATCAAAAGTTGCCCGATCATAAAACCTGCAGCGCATTTAAATGATGGGGTCCTTAGGAAAAAAAAAAAAAAAAAAAAAACAGTTGGCAGACCATCAGCACAAGCAGCATCAATTCAAGCTCCACCAACCACCCTCATGCCACAAGCAACTTTTTTATTTATGCTGTTTTCAAGAAGATAGAAACACATCAAATTTGTAACAAATTACATTTGATGCATGTAATAAAAATCCCGCACAGCTGGCCAAGCGAAAATTCTCTCTTACATCAATAGGCGTTCACACCGCATTTTGGCCTAATTAAGTTTTCAAGTGCAATAAAATGATGGCTGGACGCTGGGAATCAGGATTTTCAAGTTGGTCGAAAGGGAACCGAGGGGAAACAAATGCCCTATTGCGTGCGGGCATCAAATTTGCGCACAAGTACATAAAACACAAGTTAAAAACTTAAATGGATTTACCACAATATGACCAAAAGCGATGATGGAGATGATGATGGGCAACGTACACGAACACGCATACACGCGTTGCTAAATTTCTTCTCATTTTTAGATTAGTTAAAAGTTGTCATGATTTATGCGCTGGGCGAAAGACCGCATCCTTTACCCGACTTCAGGCAAATCCATTTACCAAACTCCAATGCCAGAGGCTTCAATTATAAGCTAATTCTAACCTGTATACCCTCGCTTCTTAGAATATGTACAAATTACCATGTAGCGTTGACTCTTAAGTAAGATTTATATAAAATATATACATACATACATAAACATATATGAGCATTTTAGAATTCTTATCATAGGAGAAAGTTAACAAGGCAATTAATCAATTTTTCTGATTTCCCAATAAAAAAAAAAAACAGAATATATAAATAATAATAGCATTGGGCAAGATGTTTTGTAAATCCTTATAATTTTCCTGTTACTATTATAGTTATCGTTTCAATTATATGCAAACGGTTGTATAGATATATGGGCAATTCTCTGGTGTCGAATGCGACATTCGTACGCATTCAAACTAAAAAAATACATGTGTCAAGACTTTATTTTAATTTTATAAAAATTGAAACGTATAGCTCTTGGTTAGCACTATAATTGGTGCTAAGGTCGATTTTGAACCCTTGTTTGTTTTCAAGATATTCACTAAAAAGTACTGCGTTCGCACGCGACAAAAATAGAATATATATATATAGAAATAATATATGTACATAAATAGGTTATCATCGTTCCTAAGAAAGTTTCAGTATACAGAAAAACGATCAAATAGATACTCAGACTTGAACTGTGTACATATATTTAAAGACAGAGAAATTATTAGTTATGTCTGCCACTATTCTGAAGATTCCATTTTGAGTACGAATTTTTCCATTATGACATTGAGACGCTTGCGTTCTTTTAGTTGTTGTTGCATTATATCTGAGATCTGCGTACCCAAAGCTAATATTGCCTCCGTATTAGCTTCACTTCGCTGAGCGTTCAAGCGGGTTTGCCTATTTAGTTCGCGCAGTTCCTTTGCGATGTCAATTAGCACAGGAACGGAGCTCTCATGCTCAATTTGCAAAGAATCTTCGGCATCCAGTTTTCGTTTCTTAGGACTCGTCCGTGGAGTGGTGCAGTTCATACTCTGCTCTAACTTGACGCCCTTCACGTTGATAGAGTTACTGCAATCCTCTTCGTCTTCCTCTTCCTCCTCCTCCTCGTAGTCTTCTGCAGACGCAAAAATATAGTGGATGTCTGTGGATTTTGTGGGCTTACCACTGTCCGTCTGCTGGGCGTCTTCGTTGTCAGTTTTTATGTTGCGCAGAGAAAGGCTGTGGGACATTTCTGATCGGGTTTTTGGCCGGGCCTCGACAATAGTGTCTGCCATGTCGTACAAGTCGCTGATCACAGCTACCGCGTCCTCCAGGGGGGTGAGAGTGTCCTGGTACAGCGAACCCTTGCCACTGGCATTTGAGTCCTCAAGGCGGTTATTGGTAATCTTCTTTTTGATGCAACTCTTCCAATCCTTCCACACCCGTTTCCACTCGCAGGCCTCCTTTACAGGAGGACCAACGCTATTCAGCTCCTTCGCTAATCGCTTCCAGGCTGCCTCCGCCGCTTGCTTGTCGCCCTTGAGGTAGTTTTTGGCAATGATTGGATGCCGTTCCATAAATGCAACGAATATTGCATCTTGCTGTGCGGTTCTGTGCTTGCCCCTTGCCGGAACGAAGCGAGAGTCAGGTTTATAATTACATACATATATAAGTGCATTTAAAGTTTGCTTACATATTCCGTTATGCGACTGCTGATAATTTCCTTGATATTGGATTATTCTTTAAATTTTTAGAAATCAACAATTTAAGACTTATTTTGCTAATAGAGGTGGGAAAACTGCCTAGAGCTGCAAGAACTTGATATCACTATATCGATATTTTTCAATACGATAGTTGGGACAATCGATTTATCATTAGGGTTGTAAAACTGGCTAGAATTTTACTAGCGTTTATATTTCTATATCAGTGGTTTTATAAAGGTGATGAGACTGGGTAGATGTACTAAGAAATGCGATAGTTATAATAATCGAATATAATTAAGCTGGTTTCAAGCTATCCAAGTTTCGATCCGGTTTTGAGAAAAGCTAACTAAGGTTTGAGAGCTATATTGGTCATACTCGAAATATATGCGCGGCTTTTTAAATTAAAAAATGTGTGGCAAATTTTAATATGCTTTTATATATATCTTTTAAAACGTAAAAGTTGTTATTAAATGAAAAAATAAATACAAATAAAGTACATTTTGCACAAAAGGCTGAAACCTGTTTGGCTAGTCCCAACGGCCTATATCTTATCACTCAATATAGATAAGCATTGTCTCAAAGATTACAACACTGGCCTCAGTCGGCACATGGGCGAGGCGCGGCCCTAACTGGGCAGAAAAGTTACCAATCAGTACGAAAAGACTAGCAGGTGAAACAAGGTAGTGCTGGAAAAGTGTTTAAATGCCAGCGGCGGTGGCGATGATTGCAATATTTCCTATCAGTGAACCGTAAAATAATAAATTCCTGTGAACAGAGGTTACTGACAAAACGAAATTTTCTCAATTGAAAAATCAACATAGACATAAGTACAGAAAAGTATAAAAATTTTAAGAATGCATGGCTACTCGTATTTGGAGTTGTGCTAAGCTTGTTATCTAATCAAAATGCCTTAAATTAATGTGTTAGCTTTACCGAGTTTATAAATTAGGGCGCGGGCCGACAATGTTCTTTTGTGTATTTTACACCTGACTCATTTTCCGATGTATGCACATCGTACACGTATCGCAGAGAATTGTGATTATCAAGTAATACCAATCTATATGGAACAAACTACACAACTACAGTATTCTGCGGGTTTCATATAAACTGATAAACGATATCTATGTACATAGCCATATAAGAGTGGACTTGACTCATGAGCGTTTACAGTGCTTTATTTTCGGACTGATAACTAAGTATTTGCCAATAACGTCACCTTGTGTTAAAAATGGACGTTTGCCGGAAGTGAATTTTCATAAATTAACAGTTAATTAGCCTCTTCAGAATTGTGGGATAATTCTTCCTCGATTCATACCAGACCATACAGATTTAATGTTATCGGATTGAAAATCGGAAATAGTCCTAATAGTGATTAAAAAGCCATATTTGAAGTGACTAAGGAGTAAGATCAATACTAAGACATTTACACTTTGTAAACATTGACGCACCGAAGAGCTTAGGATCTCGTTTTGTGATAAGGCCCCAACGATAGGCAGTCCGCCAGTGTGCGTGCATGCAGTCTTTAGTATACTTATATATGTATATATACACGAGATAGGTGGTAACTACCGTCCAAAAACTATTCGTGTCAGGGTCAATTTAGGATTTAAAAAAAATGTAGCAATTTACTGACTCGATCACTTCGTTTTTTAGCTTCACAACGAAAACGAAACATCAAACCATGTTACCAATGCAGTTTAAGGCAGCAGTCGTCTGCCTGGGTGTGGTCCTCATCCTAGGGGCCGTAAAGGCGCAGGAGAATGCGATGCTGCAGATACCACCATCCTTGGTCGAGTGTTACAACACATCCTTCTTTATGAATCGGGACAACCGGTTGCCTGCCAACATGGACACACTGATTTCGCTAATCGAAAAAGTGGAAAACAATTACGCGACGACCGGTGTCCAGGCAGATATTCGAACAGTGGCCGTATCCTTGCTGCACCGCTTCCGTCAAGATGGTATTAAAAAGGCTCCTGGCATCACTGCCGCCAATGGCGTTTTACCATACAGTCCCACAGGCTTCCAGTTTCCGAAGTTTAGAATCTTGTTGTCACGCTTGATCCCCGGTAATGCCAATAGCTTTCCCAACAGTTCGTTGACCAGTGTAGAGCGATGCTCCCTTCACTTTATGCTTTCGAGCACATTTGATACGAGAGTGCGAGGCGATGAGAACACAGTCTGCAATCAGCTCTCCCAGTACCGCGCTCAGCGGCTTCCGCGGTCCTTAAGGAAGGAAGACAGTAACAACTTTATTGGCGATGTGGAGTGGCTTGACACCCGGCCGAAACGAGGAGGGTCTACCGGCTCCAGCTCTAAATATGGACAAATGGCAGAACTCGATTACGAAACAGACTGGGCCTATGCCGGCCCGGAAGGAACCAGCCAGTGTCCTGTGGAGGATGGTCTTGTTCGTACGCGCTGGGGAACGGTGTCAGCAGGAACCGTGATTGCCGGCATTGCAGCAGGTGTCCAGCAGCAAACTATTCAAACAAATACTTTGCTAGCCCTGTCACAGCGACGTGGTCGGGGACGCAGTCAGTCCCAGACAAGCAACAGCATTGACAATCGGTGGGCAGCTACCATAGCCGGAGACTTGGCTGAGGTGGCATTGATCCAGGTGCCTGTGTCCAGCGGAAATGCAGCCTCCGTTGGAGCTACTGGCGGATGGAACGATACAGTGCTTCCACATTGGTACTTTTTATCGCAACGCACCAACCTTGAGGCGACTGATGCCGAGATTCGTGGTGGTCTTGATGGCCTGATTCTGGCCAAGAATGTCGCCAACTGGAGAACTCAGACATCTAATCTGAAACTTTCTCAGTTGCTTCGCATGTACTACTCCACGAATGGGGTCCTGAGCTCCGGAATCAATGCCTGCAGCAGGCAGAGTCTCTTCCCAACCGTGGCGCCATCACAGGAAATGGAGGCTCAGACGGCCGCCTTTGCTCAGGTGTTAGAGCGTGAGATGCAACTACGGGTCACCATTGACCAGCCCCGTATTCCCGAGTTTGCCGGTAACGCCAGTCTCTCGCTGGTGACATATGTGCGTAAGTAATCACAATTATTTGCATTATCGCGGAACCACCCTGCATTTAGTCCAGCTTTTAATTATTTATTTTAAATATTTTTAAATCAATAAGCCAAATGTAAAAGAACTTGGGTTTCTTCTCAAAAGTCCCGTGAAATACCAATGCTGGTGTTCGTGTGCATTACGATTTCTTTGTTCTTACGATTTTCCTCTATCAGCACAATCCCTTAACGATGTGTCGTGCACGGCAACCACTAACCTGGACCTGACGGATGTCATTACTCCAATGACCAACTTGTACGTTTTCTTGGACACCTCTTGGCAGTACAGCAACATTGTTGACTATGTGGTGTAAGTCCCCACAGAGTTATTGCAGAACTAAATCCCTAATCTAATGGACGTTTTAGGTATGTTCTCCAGCAGCTAAACATTCACCCCTATGCCAGCACAGTCACCATTCTCTCGGCACAGGATGGCTCGATTATCGTGAACACTACAAACTATATCACTGATGTCTATCAGAAATGGAATGTGACTACCCAGGCGCAATGTAAGCCACCTTTACGAAACATTGACTGAAGCTAATATCACGTTCCAATAGATAATCAGGGTTTCAACCTACCAACTGTGCTGCGTACTATTCAAAACCTTACGCAGAACTTAATGAATGAGGAAAGGACCAATTCAAGCTTGAGTGGGCATTCCCTAGTGGCTTTAATGATTCCAAATCAGGCAACAATTAATGATGGCGACTCAAGCTATGCAACTACGGAAATCCAATATATCCAAGAACAGATTCCTGACCTTCGCTTCATTTACTATGGCGGAGGAAGCATTCAGCGCTTCTCCAGCTTTGTTCGGGATCCCTCGCAAGATCTTTTCTCTCTAACTTATGGCAGTACGGTGGCCACATCTGCGGGACCTGTCGCAAAGCGCATCATTCAAAGTAAACGCAACGCAATGTTTTTGTGAAGTAATTGACTGATAAGAATTTTATTTCCAGTTCCTCGGCGCGTCATCAATCCTCGTTGTGGTTCGAATTGGTACACCAACAGCTGGGGTACAGATCAGACGGCCCAGTACGTGGGACCAGGAAAGGTGAACTTTTACAGAATATCTGCAAACTATTTCTTTGGAACTGGAGCAAACCGGTATCTGACCATTCAGTCCCAGAATGGAGGAACGTATAACATTTGCACCTCGCGAAGCTATTCGTGGCCCCAGCAGAACTCCACGACGAGCTCCACAACAAGCGGAATAGACCAGACTTGCTCGCAAATAAGCGGAAGCAGTTTCAGCTACGATCTTTCAAGCGCTTGCTCGGGATATTACACTATCACCCAGTGCCCGGACCTGTTTTTCTCGGTCCAAGCCACCTCCAATACAACGTCCTGCAATGATGATGCCTGCCAGACACCGGATCAATGGCGCTACATCATGTCCATGGTCAATATGGGATGCTACAGCGGTGTCTCCGGCCTGGCAGCCAGCTTGCTAACAATTCTGTTTGCCCTGATGGTGCAGCGGTTGTTGCAGTAATTGGTGACTAGTGTATCATAGTCTAAGTGATACAGCGGCAGAGTTCAAAGCATGTCTCCCCCGTCCCGTCCCCTATCCGCACATTTATTTTCCCGTTCTACATTAATCTTAAATTTTTCTTACTTAAGTTGTATGTTCCAGTGAAACATTGAAACGTAGCGAATAAATATCCCCACTAGAACAGCATTTTATTATTTTTTTCAAATTTGCAGAGTGGTTCCCGATGACTAATCGTGTAACAGGCAGATAGACACTGACTAACGCTGGCATTTTTATTATATTTTAGCTATTATGGACTATTTCCGACTCAACAGTGGTCAGACATTTCGAATTTGACAACCGTTATAGCGAATATATATGTGTTTGTCGACACTTATTGGCCATACAGCTGGGTTGTTGATTACGTCGCGTAAGTACGTTTTATGGAAAAAATTAATATAAAATTCACCAATCTAATTTTTTACAGTTACGTTCTTCAGGGGCTCAACATTCATCCATACGCTAGTAATGTAACCATTTTCGCAGCTTCTGATGCGTCAGTCATAGTAAATACTACCGAATACATTACAAACGTGTATGAAGAATGGAACTCAACATCACACTCTTGGCGTGAGAAAGTCGAATATTTATTCAAAGCTGGCTTAATTATGAGTTAAATATCATTCATAGATCCGACTGGCTTCAACTTGCCGCTTATTTTAAACACGGTAACCCGCAGGGTAGAGGATTTGCTCGATGCCGAACGGGCCACCGATAATCTTGGTGGGCGATCATTAGTCGCTCTTCTGGTACCAAGTCCCATATCCTATGTTGATGAGCAGGACTATGACTATTGCCAGCAGTATCTGGACAGACTGCGCTGGCGCCTTCCAAACCTGCAGTTTATTTACTACGGTGGTGGGGCCCTCGTACGATTCCATGATTTTGTTCGGAACCCGAGCAAAGATTTGTTTCTTCTAAACACTGAAAAGCCACCCGAAAGCTGTGGCGATCCCGTCATTACCCGAATTCGTCAAGGTGAGTCTTGTCCTTTAAGGCGATATTTATTAAAGTGCCTAAACTCTTGCAGTTCCCCGTCGTCTCTCCAACCCCCGCTGTTATTCAAACGGCGCTATAACCGAGTTCGGGACCAACTCCCTGGAACAATTTGCTCGCTTGGGAACTATAAATTTCTATCGACTAGACTCTTTATATTTGCCGGGCAGACAGAGCATGCGGTACCTTAAAATCGCACCTATCAGTAAAATCACATTCACGGTTTGCACTTCTCGAAGTATTGAATTACCTTTCAGAAACCAGAGTGCGCCGCTTAGGCCGGAGGAGACCTGCGAGTCCACAGCTTTGGGATCATATAGCTATGATCTTACTGATGCTTGTGTTGGCTACGATTTTGAGCCTTGTCCCCCTTATTTTTCTCCGTTCAGGCCCAAAGTTTTGGCGAAATTTCGTGTACGCTTGACACTTGTCAAACTCCAGATGAAACGCAGTACCTTGTTAGTTTAAATAATCTCGGCTGTAATGCTGCTACCGCCATAAAACTGACAGTTGCTACAGCTGTCAACACTATTTTACTGTTGTCTATAGCTTAAATGACAATTCGTGTTCGAAATAATAAATTAACTAAATAAAAATAGAAAGTTGTTGGTTATTTTATGTTATTTGTTATAATTATCCAGAAGTGCAGTCCATGGTGACGCCCGTAACGCTTCTTAGGTCAAACCCAACCAGTTGTCCAATTAAAGACAGAGTTCCCCTGGGCAGTGTGCTGGATCTATGCTCTTCCCTTTAATTACCCACCACATACCTGGGTCTTAAACCAGTCACCTTTCTCGACAACAAACATAGAACGCTCGGAGTTTTTAAACCAGGTTCTTATCTATGATTTTCCATGAGTATTTCCGGTTTATTTTACTTCTTATCAGAACATTTACACTGCTTGATCGATTTCACTGCTTCTCAAACAATACCTTCGCGCACTGCTTGTTTATACTAGTAAGTGGTGACCTAAACCATATTTATAACTATTTTGAATTTCGAATCTTGACAATACATACTCTATAATATGCGTAAATTATCCTTTATAGACGGATAAAAAAATTCAGCTAATTTTATTTTCATAACCATGGAAAGAATATTTAAAACGTTTCATTCTTTTGCATTTAAAATAAATTCCTAGTTTAAAGACATTATTCGCGCTTCTATTTTACTAATACACCGTTTAAATCTCTGAAATACGACAAAACAATTAAATTCAGACCTAAACGTTTTAAAAAAATAACATAAAAAAAAAGGATTTCTGCCGCTTGAAGTAATTTTACTTCGCGCCCTTTTCGAAGTCGTGCATGAATTAATATGTAATGAAAAAGGTGCCAGGGATAAAAAGGAGCAGCAGTTTGGTGGATGGATGGAGATACAAGTCACTTTAATTTAGGAAATGTCAAAATATTCAAACATCCTGCAGACATTGGAAAGAACTTGTTGGCGTCATCATCGCCATGCCATTGTTACATTTTAATAATCCAAAAATCGTTGGAGCTCCACACTACCTTCCAGCGTTCTAATTTCCAAACAGCACTTGTTGCAAAAGAAGAAAATCATCAATTTTATTTTGGACCTGCTGATTTAATACTTTTTTTCGGATACTCGCCGACAAGCACCCAAACCAAGTAGGCATCGGTTTCCCTATGAATGCTTCCCAGCAATTCCAAAGTTCGAGGTACAAAGGCTCTTCTTTTGTTCAACTCAACGAGGGTTCGGTGGCGTTTTTTGTAAAGCTTTCTATTCTTAATCAAGCGAAAGGATGCACAGACAGGAAGGGGAATAGCCGAAGCTGTAGGGGAAGTCGAAATCAAAACTCCCGATTTACAATTTGCTTAAATTTTCTACATTTAATGCGACACTTAATTACGAAACAAAAAACATTGGCAATGTGTTGCGAATTGCATATGCTGCATGCAATTTCGTATAGCCCCTGGGAAGTTCACTAAGATGTCAAGCGTTGCATTTGCCCCATCCTAAAATGTACCCCATGAACACAAGCTGGAAGTGAAAAATGTCATGCAACCAATTGGTGCCATTCGGACGGCCCCTTCCATTCAGGAGCAATTCTGCTGTGGTGGTTGCACTGTAAATGGCCAATGGACTGGGGTGGAAGCATATAAAACTGGCTTGCAGCCGTGGTACGCATCGAACCGGTTCTTTCTGAATGACCTTAGGTCAGTTTAAATCTTGCGTACAATTTAAGAGGGGTAAACATAAGTGCTAATTGTCAACACTTACGAACGTGGTTTGCCACTGCGGAGGGGCAGATTGAGATAATTTCCTTTTTATTTTGGCATGTCGTTTGTGACATGAATACATTGTAGCAATAAATATAATATAATTATAATTCTCATTTCATACGCATTCTTAAGACCCAACAAAGTTATTTTTGTGAAGATAAAATAATTTATCTAATAGATAGGTAGCACTTCGAAATTCGTATTCAAAATAAAGCTGAATAACTTTAAGAAAATGGATACCGTAGGTATCCGATTCAGGCCAACAAACTTAATCAAATCTGTCAGAAAAACCGCAGCCCAACTCAACTCATTTCTCCTTTCGTCTGACAAATGCTGCCCCAAGACATAAAGCTCCAGTTTCTATATGCACTTGGCTTACGTCTTTAAGGATTCGCACATACCCAACAAAGCCACCGGCTGTGACCGCAAAACAGTGCCTGGTGTATATGCAGTTCAGAAATGTGTCTAAGAAAATATTATTGCTGACTTAGCTTGGAAAGTTGATGAAATACTTCACTAACATGAGAATGAGATATACAAGCGGAGGCTGAGTCGCATATCAGTGTCCTGACAGGCTAGCTCAGAACACGCAAGGGACAAAACCAGGACGACCGCAAATCAAACTGGCTGCTAAAGTTTTGGCCCAAGGCAATGGGTAACATGTGATAAGTTTATTGTCTTGCCGCATGGCGCCAGAGCTCGCTCCCAAATCAAAAAAAAAAAAAAAGACCGGGCACCAATATCACATTTCATAGGAGAAAATATGGTTTCTTTGTAAATAAATTAAGTTGTCTCGCCCACAAATATTAATTGCTTAATTAGCATATGCGTCTGGCGTGACCAGAGAAACCCAAAATCCCTTTTGGGCGCCAACTTGGTTGGGGTTGACAGAAAGGACGAACGGTGACAGTTTGAAGAGAAAACTCGCCCGAAGAAATTTGTGTTCAACTGAGGAAAGTTCATTCTCAAATGTTTGCTTAACAAGACACGTGCCCATATGTACGTTATGAGGAACCTTTATTTGCATGCTTAGAACAGTGGCACAATCATTATTCTGTGCCTTGTATATCTTTCTCTATTAAATACCCAAAGATATCAAGTATTTATTTATAGATGCGTAAAATGTATAGAAATCGACTTCTAGCTGAGCATTTCCGCGCTTTACCTTCGATTTTCTTAAAAAATTTAACTGAAACGAGGACATAATCAAAACACAATTAATTATATACATTATTTTTAAGAATACGATAAGCTGGCGCCTTGTTGTTACATCTTGTGGGTGGGCCGAGTAAAAGGTTTAAAAACATACATGCAGAGCAAAAAATTTGCTCTCTAAAAATTGGGGGTTGTTATTCATTTTGGGTCTTTAATTATTGTTGTTTCTGCTTTGTTCTTCGGGTATTGTGCCTCGTGTTTTTTAGATGCTTCAGATGTAGGTTATCGATTTTTCCTTCTTACATGTTTTTACGTGAACTGGACGGCTGGCTGATTACAAAAAATGTACTTCCCCTTAGAGCACCAATTAAAGAAAGTCTTCAGAGAACAGCCTTAGGTTTTTTACTCCATGCGGACCAAGTTGAGTTAAAAAATTCACATAAAGCCATGAAAAGTTAAAATAATAAACTTCTAAACCAAATACCCCTACCAAAGAGTTAATCCATATAAATTTAAAATGCTGCATACATTTTAGTTATTTCAGTAGGAAAAAATATGTTTCTTCACTTTTTCCGGGGGGTTCTCATATGTGCAAAAGTTCGACCGCCTTTCTGAGAAGCGAAAAAACTTTTTGTACAAGCATAATTAGTGTTCTATTTTATTTATTTCCTGGGTAATCCGTGGGTTCTGAGAAACACTCAGAACAATTTCATTAACTGTAAACGAAGCACAAGAGGACGTAAGAATCCTTCACCAAGGCTAGCTCCATGTCCTCGCGTTTTAATTGCAGATACCAAGGAAACCGCAAGCTAACAATCCATTAACTTTTTGCCACTCAACTGGGAGAAACTAAAGGAAATGGGTACCCAAGGCACTGGCTTTCCCTCTGACTTTGCATGCAGAAGGAAAATATAACTTTTCATACTTTTTTCCTCTCTGGGTTCACATTGCAGCTGTAAAGGGCTCTTCATCAGCAGCAGCAACAAACAGATCTGCAAATTATGAAGGATAAAAGACTTCGCGGCTGCAGGCAGACATACGCGTATATTATTATGTGCTTATAATAAGTTTTTTCTCGCTTTTCCACTCGGGGCAAAGCAAGTTTTTACACTGTTTGAGTTTTTAAAAGAGGTTTATTTTTTTTTATTTAAGAACAAAATGTCTTTAAAATTAAAGAATTGAATATATTCTCGGCACGGGGCAACAACCGCTTGAAAAGATGTAAGTCTGTATGCATGACATATTTCACAGCTAACTGACTATTTCCGATTAACCTGAATTAGAATTTCTTTACCTTCATTGTATGTGGCGGGGGCTCACCTTGAATTGATGTGCAAATAGGCAATGCTGTCACGGTCAACAACCCCATGGTAGGCTAACCCTTTATGCTCTGCAGTCTCACCCACCTCAAAAAGTGTGTAACTGGAATAAACAGCTGTTCCGGATGATGCCAAGGGTCTGTCTGTATTGGGTATACAAGCAAGGATCGGTGGAGATGTGAATTTGAATACAAAATTAGGCATACCGAAGCGATCCCATGCTCGATTATGAGGGTTAGAAATCCTAAACAGGATGCTGCGTGCGTGCCTTGAACAAAAAGGTCATCGGTGGCAAATTTTCAATATTGCGATAAGCATCTTGCACAACATACGCACATGTCCTTGACCACAAGACATTTGAATACGTGTACCCGGCCGGCCGTGATTAATGAAGTGTTGACCAAGTCAGAATTAATGCGAAACTTTGGCTCTGATAAGAAAACTGACCGTCGGAAAACCCTTTTTGGGAAGCACATGTGCTTGTGTGAGGGGTAAACTCCGGTTGGGGTTTGCTCGGCAAACCATGTGCTAAGTGGCATGTGGTCAAGGGGCCACAACTTTGGGTCCACGGTCAAGAATAGTTTCAATTTACGCCTTGTGAACAAACATTCATCAAATGTGCTTGTGAAATTTTAAATGTCAAAAACTCTGGCGCACACCCCCGCCACGGCTCTTCCACAGCTGTTTGTGCAACCCTTATCGAGGCCGAAATGGGTTAACTGTCCGGCTGCCGAGTTTGAGTGTCCGGTTTTGGAATAATTAATCACAGACTCGCATGCGATTTGTAAAGTTAATTACCGTGGCGAAAGCTCATATCGAGAAGAAGGGGTCCACCTCGGATTGAGCCCAGATAATAGGAGGCAGGGTGTGAGACAGCCGTGTGTGCCTAAGTGCTCTGCTCGTCTCCAATTACTGACAGTTTAGCACATATTCCAACTCGACGTGGCTTGGGCATTTATTATTCATGTCCTGCCTCCACACCGACTGAGTAAACATTTCCAGTGACAGTGTCCACGAGTCCAGGGTCTATCTTTTCTGGGCCCGACTGCAGTGTTTGCTGACGGTGTTACCCGTGCAATAACAGTTAGTAGTTATCTCTGAGCACCGCCTTGGCCAAAGAGTGTTTTGCTAAAAAGGAGCCATAAAAAATTCATGGCTGGATGCCGATTTGCAACATGCAAGCCGAAAAATGTTTCGGGAGTGTGGTGTGACTTAAATTCAACTGGGAGTTTAGAAAATTCAATGGCTTGGTTAGGAATAAGTAAAAAACCTTGCACACCATTTCGAAATCATACCAAATCGCTCTATAGACAACTTAAAGCTAACCCAATGCAAAACAAAGGCGAGAGAAGTCACAAGTCATTTATTGATTTTATTATGGGGCCATAAAACTTTTGTCATCTCAAAGGGGCTCTGTGACACAAAATAGTAAATAAGTTTTCGTAGGAGCTTGAGGCATCTGAATGTATGTTTAATTTCGTTTTAATTTGATTTTGAAAATTGTTTGGACATCTTGTGAAAGTCAGACGTTCTATGGGGAATTTGATTCCAAAGCATTTGTATCGACATGTATTTCTATAGAGTGGCTATGTGGAATGTTGAGAAAAAGTTAAATTTAATATGGCTTCGTTGACACTAATAACAGTTTATGATTTCCTTAGCTATTCTTGCTAATGTAAATACTTTACAATTCACTGTTATGTCTTTATAGTGCAATTACAAACGCTTAAGAATAATGAAAGTAATTACCAAAAGTCCCCTCACTGTGCTTAAACTTTAATGTGCGACACGCAATGTTGATTCATGCGGGCATAAATAAATAAAGAAAACAAGAAATTTCACACGAAAATGCATAAATTAATCAAAAATATTGTTTGCTCACAAGGGCGGAAGGGGAACTTGGGGGGGAAAAAAGCCACCCACGCGCGACAATTGACCCTTTTGTTAATTAAATTTCGAAGACAAGAAAGGACATTTCGTGTGTGTGCCATGATGATATGCAAACAAGCAAACAAATTGGTTTTGAGCAGGAGTAAATTGTTTACCATGAGAATATGAATGATATCGCCTGTCCTGATAAGCGAGGTCGGCGGTATAAATTTACAAGAAACGATAGTGTCGGGCTGCTACTCCCGGTCTGGCTACTCAGTGGTCGAAAGGACAATAAAATATGTCCCATAAATTTTCGGCTGAAACGAAGAAAAAGGGTTGACGTCGACAGAGCCCAGCGGGTAGTGACACCCTTGCGCCCCTAGCCCTCGCAAATAAATAAATATACGTATAGCTTTAGTTGGACAGACAGGATATGGATTCCCTGCATATGATGTTTATCCAGTCGTCTATTAGCCCACATAAATTATAAACGCGCATTCGGAAAGCGCATGTAGTTTATTAACACTTGAAGAGGACTCGAGCTCGAACTATTGCGTGTGCCCTTTTGATGTCCTTTGCATGTTGGCCTCTCTTGCCAAAATTATCCCATTTCTCTATTTGTATTAATTTACATACGACACGCATTCTCTCACTTTGGCCATCATCCTGCCAGAAAAATTCCTAATGGGTTGACATTTATGATATATATGCGTGTGGCCAATGTTGGGCCGCTTTCAATTAGTTGGGATATCGTTCATGTTGAAATAATGTCTGACCGCCCAAAACGGAATTGTCACAAGGTAAAAGTTGTATTTAAAGAAGTAGCATTATTTCGAAACCGACAAACAGCTTTTTGAAAGAAGGAGAGGAGGGAACGACTTGGTCGATAAGCCCAGCACCAATATTTAACTGCAACATACAGTTCTGTGTCAATCAGCATAAATAAAAGCCAATAAAAATCGGTCTGAAAAAATATTATCAGATAAATGATATCAAGGTTTCCTTTGATGCGGGGAACATGGCAACACCAAAGACCAAAATCAAATCAACGACCAGGCCCGGGACAGGGAGCTGGGGCTGAGTTCCGACTACTGGGAAGGACACCGCTATGCCGAGGGCTGGACAACGACCAAGGCAGTCGTTGTCCCTGCCACAGACTCTTGTCAATAATTCAACTTATCACCGGCGGATATTGGAATGAAAAACCCAAAGGACAACACATCCGGACACCCTCGAGGGCGCGTCAATAAAAACACATTTGAATGATGCAGTTCGGAGTTTTGAGCTGGCGGGATCTTATTGAAAGGTGTTCGCGCTTATTAAAAGAGGGGTAGAACCTTGAAGAATTTTTGGTGAAGTGCTTCAACTCTAAACTTTGTGTGTCACTTCTTTGAAATTATATTTTGCATCTTGAAGGTCTATCCACCCTGCTATTCGTATTGAGAATGGAAATCCTTAGAAAAGCAAACCAAAAACTCACCACCCAGCCAGATGCGAAACGTTTTATTTACTTTCGTTAACTTCGATCTGGTTTTTGGTTTTTCTTTCGTTTTTGTTGGTGTGAAGCATCCTTTAAAGTGCTAAGGTGCTTGTAAATATTTTCTTTGGACAAACTTGACATTTTGGTAGAGCCGGGTTGGCATATTGGCGTGGGAAACATTTCTTACAGTTACTATTTTTGTAGTTCAAATGCTCCAAAGGACATCCAATCTATCTGAATCTAAACTGCCAAGGTTTATATTGGCTTTCACTTAGGCAAAGGCAGACTAGCATATTTATACCCTTGCAGGGTATTATAATTTCAGTCAGAAGTTTGCAACGCAGTGAAGGAGGCACCTCCGACTATATAAAGTATATATATTCTTGATCAGGATCAACAGCCGAGTCGATCTAGCCATGTCCGTCTGTCCGTCTGTCCGTCTGTCCGTCTGTCCGTTTCTACGCAAACTAGTCTCTCAGTTTTGAAGCTATCTAAATGAAACTTTGTAGTTAGCCTTCTATATACTCTCACTCGTATATATGTCGGAACGGGCCGGATCGGACGACTATATCATATAGCTGCCATAGGAATGATCGGAAAATTTTTACAAAAAAAATTTTAACTTTTTCAGTTCTCTATAGAATTGGATCAAATTTGAGATATAGCCATTTAATATTATTCTACAATTTTGTGTAAAATTTTATGAAAATCGGACGACTATATCATATAGCTCCTATAGGAACGATCGAGAAATTAATTCAATTAATAAGTATAACATTTTCAGTTTTCAACAGATTTTCATCAAATTTGAGATATAGCCGTTTCATATTATTCTACAATTTTGTGTAAAATTTTATGAAAATCGGACTAATATATCATATAGCTCCCATAGGAACTATCGAGAAATTTGAGAGGAATGAGAATGGCGGTGGCTGTTGTCGGAAGACTGACAATCGCGGTGGCGATAACATTTTTAGTTTTCAACAGAATTTAATCAAATTTGAGATATAGCCATTTCATATTATTCTAAAAATTTGTGTAAAATTTTATGAAAATCAAACGACTATATCATATAGGTGCCATACAAACGATCGTTTGATGTAGAAGAAAAATACAAATCTGTGAATATAAAGCTGCAAATATAATATGTATAGGTGAATGAAATAAAAGCAGGTATTACTTCATTGTTTTTAAACACATATATATATAATTTATATGGTATGGATTTCTAGTCATAGAATTTCTATCTGCAAGGGTATTTAAACTTCGGCGGGCCGAAGTTAGCTTCCTTTCTTGTTTTAAAATGTAGTATAGGCAACACCTAAATCAGTTTTATAAAAGATCAAAATATCTGTTTAAAATATGCATTTGCTTAGACTTAGTTCAGCTATTTCCTACGGTATAATAAATCTTTACCTGACCCGCTTTCTGAACTTTAAAGTCTCATCTATATTATAATCACCACGTGCCTTTAGTATAAAAAAGAAATTTGCAAAGCCAAATGCATCAGTTGTAAAGAGTTTTTGCCATGGTGCGACAATTGGTGGGAAGCTTCAATATTTTCTGACCAAGAACAGCCACTAATTGCTTTTTGACAGATTCTCGTCCTTTCGCTGATTCTTTTCGTCGGCAGCTCACATGCCACCGTTGTCCTCAGTGAGTTGGCCCGCCAGGGCGAATCGGCACTCCAGGGCTTGGCAGACATCAAGCTAGCACCATTGAGGTACTTGGATGCTCTCATAGGGACTAATCCCGGCGGATTAGGTTTTTACGGCGGAGCTGGAGGAGCTGTATCAGCGGCTGCAGCTTTGCAAGCGGCACACCAACTGGGTCTTGGAGGTAAACTTGGACTCGGGCCAACAATCACAACTGTCGGCCAAGGAGATGACTTGTTAACCATCATAAAAAATGCAGGGCCATTTAATCCACTAGGAATTCCTACACATCCTTCTCCTCATTGGCCTAGGCCTCCATTAGGGCATCCCAATTTCCCAGGATTCCCAGGTGGGCCTTTCCGTCCCGGTGGTCAGGGTGGTCCGGGCGGTCCAAGTGGTCCTGGTGGTCCTGGCGGTCCTTTCGGTCCTGGCGGTCCTTTTGGTCCAGGTGGTCCTGGTAGTCCTAGTGGTCCTGGTGGCCCTAGTGGTCCTGGTGGACCACCACCACGCTTTCTCCAAATACCAGGACTCCCAGGAATAAAAATTCCACTTCCTACAATATCCTTTAACCCTGGAAGTCCGATGGGACCAGGTTCAGGTCCTGGTTCAGGTCCTAGCCCTAGGCCAGGGCATGGCATTTCAGCAAGCATAGGACCCTTCCGTTATGGTGGATTATTCGGAACTGGCTTATTTGGAGAAAAGGGCCTCTTTGGTACTGGCATCCTTCCTGCATGGATTCTGGACCCTCTCGGTATCTTCACCCCACTCGGAAACCTGTTCGGAGGCCTGGGAAGCTTGTTCGGATTGAGATCAAACCTGGAGGTACATCGCACTGGTCTTTTAGACCGAAACGTACAGGGTACAATCTCATTGGATCTCGGCGGTTCTATACCAACACCAAAAACATTTTTGAGACATCTTATATCACCTGTTATAAACATGTTGGGTTAGAACAACGAAAAGGATAATGCAATGGAAAAACGGACCCGACGCCTAACCGCTTAGGTTTAATTTTTGTAGTGCTAAGAAACGACAACTGTAGGGGTAAAATTAACATTTGTCTTGGCCAAGCTTTGTAGCTATAATACCAATCAATAAAATTAAGCAGCATTCCAATTGTAAGTGATTTTAAAATGTGGCTCGGGGGAATTGTTAATCAATTTGTACAACGTATCACAATGTTATTGTAATTTGAAATCAGTTTCACAAGCGAATTTTGGTTAGTATTAAAATTAAGAAATTTGTAAATATGGCAAGATTAAGAAAATATAGAAAGTAGTACTTTTAAAATTGAGTAAATAAATGACACGAACAGTGCGATGAATGACATTTAAGGTTTTTTAGACCTTGATTACATCACAACAGTTTGGCACCCTTTATCCAAGGAATATACCATGTGTTACAGGCTGAAGGAAGCATCTCCTTTCTATAAAACTCCAATATAATATAACAGTAATAGCTCGAGCTATCAACTTTGTCGATAAGGTGACAAGTCACATGTCTTTTAATTAACATTTAATATAACAAGAAGGAAGCTAACTTCGGGAAGCCGAAGTTACAATTGTATCGATGTAACCCATGCAGTTAAAATTATAAAATACCAACATTTTTGTTAATTTGACAATTTTAAGATGTAAACCCTTGAAAAATTTAAAAAAAAAATGATTTTCCTTTCCTACATACCTAGAAAGATTCGCTTGTTGCTACTGATGAAGATTATATACGATTTATAGTGTCGGAAAAGCCTCCTTCACAGCGTTACAAGCTTCTGACTAAAACAATAATACAGTTCTTAGTCGCTATTATTTATATTTTTATATGACAATTTGTTCAACAAATCAAAGTTTAAAAATCTCATAACTTACCCAAAAAAGCATTAATTTTAATTCGAAAAACTGCCCCGTGAAAGTTTTTGTTAGGCTAATAAATCTGCATACTTCATTGAAAATGTAAAACAAAAATTTTATTGGCCAATTTTTGACAATTTTAACGATGTCCACCTTATAAATTTTAGAAAAAATGTAAACAAATTTATTTTCTCTCCTACATGCCTAGAAAGATTCGTCTGTTGATGACTAAAGCAATAATACAGCTTCTTAGTCGCTATTATTTATATTTTTATACCCTTGCAGGGTATTATAATTTCAGTCAGAAGTTTGCAACGCAGTGAAAGAGGCACCTCCGACCATATAAAGTATATATATTCTTGATCAGGATCAACAGCCGAGTCGATCTAGCCATGTCCGTCTGTCCGTCTGTCTGTCTGTCCGTCTGTCCATCTGTCCGTCTGTCCGTTTCTACGTAAACTAGTCTCTCAGTTTTGAAGCTATCTGAATGAAACTTTGCAGTTAGCCTTCTATATACTCTCACTTGTATATATGTCGGAACGGGCCGGATCGGACGGCTATATCATATAGCTGCCATAGGAAAGATCGGATAATTTTTAGAAAAAAAATTATAACAATTTCAGTTTTCAACAGAATTTGATCAAATTTGAGATATAGCCATTTTACTATACTCTACAATTTTGTATAAAATTTTATGAAAATTGGACAACTATATCATATGGCTCCCATAGGAACGATCGAGAAATTAAGACAATTAAAAATTATAACATTTTCAGTTTTCAACAGATTTTCATCAAATTTAAGGTAAAGCCATTTTATATTAGTCTTAAATTTTGTGTAAAATTTTATGAAAATCGGACGACTATATTATATAGGTGCCATACAAACGATCGTTAGAAGTGGAGAAAAATGCACATCTGTGACTGTAAAACTGCAAATATAATATGTAAAGGTGAATGAAATGAAAGCAGGTATTACTTCATTGTTTTTTAACACAAATAAATATAATTTATATTGTTGGGATTCCAAGTCATAGAAGTTCTATCTGCAAGGGTATATAAACTTCGGCGTGCCGAAGTTAGCTTCCTTTCTTGTAATGATATAAAATCTATATTTGCATTTTAAATCATGGGAGAAATGGATTTTATAGAGATTCCCTGATTCACTAATGTAATGCATGTATTAAATTCCTTTTTAAAACCCGTAATATACTTTCTTTTAACTCTTTAATATTAAATTAAATTGTTCCCTATTCATTTTATAGATTTACAAGTGCCTTCAATTAGCTAGAAGTATATGGAGTTCTTCTTGGCAATTATCCTGCACTTACTTACGCCTACGCTCTACTGCAATTGTTCAATTCGCATTTCGGAAAATGTAAAGGAAACTCACCTGAAAAGAGAAGAAGCAATGAAGATAATGATTAGTCAAATGTAAAGATATGGCCAAGAAGATGAAACTAATTTCGAATCAAGGAGGGGAAGGAAAATCGATCCAAGAGAGAGAGAGAGGCAGAAAAACCAGCTCGCTGGAGCGACAGGTAGTTTAATTTATGTGAATCATAACTTAATCAAGCATGAATTTTTATTCGGAAAGCTGTCCTATGCAAGTTTTTATTTGGCTAATAAAGCTGCATACTTCATTTAAAATGTAAAAAAAATTCAATAATTTTATCAATTTTTGACAAATTTAACGAAATTAAAAGTACAACAATTTACTTTCTTTCCTACATGCCTGCAATGATTCGCCTGTTGATACTGATTATTTATATATATAGTGAAGTGTTTCTGCTTTGTGAGTCGAACTTATGTCCCGTCAGTTGACTAAGGACAACGCTAAGTTGAATTAATAAAACGAATATTCCGCTTCACGTCTTTATTCAAATGATCTCAGCTTAAGACTAAATTATTGTGACAAAAATCTTACTTCTACTGCCCTTTGTTTACAAAAGTTGGGGAGCGAGATCGCCCGCTTGGGATATTGATTGAAGAATTATTTATGTTATTGAGAAGGAGCATTGCTTGCTCCGGATGTGGATTGTTTACATTGGTTCAGCGTGGGATCGCCTACGCTGCAGATTCATATTTCTTGGAACATAACAGAATTTGTGAATATGTCACTTCCCTCCCCTTAAAAGGGTTGCTTATGATTGGGCTGGCATTTCAGGGTACAATGCAGGCAATTGGTTTTGTGCCGGTTCTATTTCTTGTTGTGGTTCTTTTCTGATTTTGAAGTTATTAATTTATATGTTTTATCAAAAAGGGTAACTGTGCTATTTTTGTAATTTATAATTGATTGTGCATTTTTCAACAATTTTCTGCCAATTAGTATATCATAATTATTAGAAAAATTGTGTACATAAAATGGTTCAGTTGTTTTAAAAATACTATTGCTGGGTAACATAATTAAATTGTTCAATGTAATAGGGCCATTTGATGTCAAAACTTCGCATATAGTATTTTGAATAGGAAGACAAAATATATTTTTATTGATCATATTTATTGTGGATCCTGTGTCTATAAGACAATTGTATGTGCAACCTTTGTATGCTATTTCTATGTATTGGTGTTCGTGTGCGTCTTGAAATCTTAATTCGTCAATAGACATTTTGGTTTGTTCACTGTCCGATGGTCTTAGTCGTTTGGTAACCGGGAAGTTAGTATTTTTAGATGTAGAGGGTTGTTGGTGTTGAGGGTATGTATTTCCTTTAAAATGTGCTGTTTGAGGATTTTGAATTTTATTTGAATATTGTGGAAAAGGATTTTTGTGAGTAAATGGTTGTGTGTTCATGTATTGGTTGGGTCCGAAATGATTTGGCCACATAGTTTGGTTGTTAGGTATCTGTTGTGTATAGGTGGGTCTAAATGATTGCGTGTATTGATTAAAATTAGGTTGGAATGGTTGAGAATATTGTGGGTAACTTGGTCGATATTGGGTTTGTGTATTTGTATTGAATTTGTGTGGTTTAGAATTCTGATTAGGGTATGAGTTCTTATTACGATTTTCTGGAATTTTATTTAATTCAAAATTAACATGTTCTTCATATATTCCCTCATTTTGTGCGATAGTGATTAATGATCTTAAGTCTTCAATGTCATGATGAGCCAAAATAGTGAATAATTGTATTGGTAATTTTCTGATCAATATTTTAATGGAATCTTTAATCGCCTGAATATAAATAAGAAAATCTGGCTGGTTACCTTCTAGATGCAATTTCGAAATTAGTACTTGACGTCGTCTTTCTGCTTCTTCGCAGAATGCTCTCAGATTTCCCTTGTAAGGTGTCTCCCTGAAGTTCTCCAGTAGTTTGTAGTTCGGTGTTTGGGGTTTAAATTCTGCAACTAGTCTCGATCTAAGGGTAGGCCAATCTTCAATGTTCGGAAGGCCCAATGATCGTGTTACATGTCCGTCCAAGTTTCTTTCGATGGCTCCAAGAAGAATCCTTTGTTGTCGCACATGATTAGTTTGGTAGAGTGAAATTACATAGTCCACTCTGCTGACGAAAGTGTAGAGAGTTTCTGGATCACCCTTAAATGGCATGATGTCTTTTAGTTGCCGACGAGCTTCAGCAAGGTTGTTGTCGCTTAGTGCAACGATTTGGGGTGCGGCGATAACTGGTTGTGCCATTGTTATAGTAAATTTGTTGTTTTAGTAAAATAAAAATTTATTTTAGTTTATTTTTTGATTTCACTTTTTAAAGTTGAAGTGTTTGTTTAAATTAATTTTCTTAAAATTTATTTGTTGTTATTAACTTTTAGGTGCCGTTGGACTTATTGTGTTTTTGTTTTGTTTTGTTCTTCCACTTTTTGTTGGACAACCGAATTGGAATTATAATCCAAGTTGAAGTGTTTTAAAACGTTTTGCGTAATTATTGTTCGAGAACTGAATTATAAAATTTAATTTATTTTTCACTCGAGGTTCTTTTTTTTCGGATACTTTTTGTATCCTACCGACTGCGCCAGTGAAGTGTTTCTGCTTTGTGAGTCGAACTAATGTCCCGTCAGTTGACTAAGGACAACGCTAAGTTGAATTAATAAAACGAATATTCCGCTTCACGTCTTTATTCAAATGATCTCAGCTTAAGACTAAATTATTGTGACAAAAATCTTACTTCTACTGCCCTTTGTTTACAAAAGTTGGGGAGCGAGATCGCCCGCTTGGGATATTGATTGAAGAATTATTTATGTTATTGAGAAGGAGCATTGCTTGCTCCGGATGTGGATTGTTTACATTGGTTCAGCGTGGGATCGCCTACGCTGCAGATTCATA